GCTGGGGCAAGCGACGGGAGCTTACTCCGTCGCGTGGATTCGATCTTACGACTGCTTGGTCTCCTGACCCTGCAGCACAGGCTTCTGCAGCTTAGCCCACAGCGCCACCACGTCCCTGATTTGATTAGTGTATATTCTGTATTAAATTAGTTTTCATTATTGAGCATCCTATAATGTGGATATTACACATTGGTTGTGATCTGACAATATTTGACACTGTTTTATGTAATACCTTTTATTAGAATTCTGATATTTGGTACTTGACATTTTTTTTGGGGGGGGGAGAGGAATTAAAATCTAAATTACTGACATTTCCAGGCTATTTTTTAAAACATGAATAGTCTGGCTCTTAATTTTATAACAGGACATACTTAACCCCACAGAAAGCAGCAAGATCATCCACAGTAGCAATACCTCATGGCTGTCATGGAATGCGTGCTAACATTGTCCTGAAGCACTACAAAAACGGGGCATTCCCCTATTCTAGTACAAAGTCCACTCTCCTACTCTTGTCTACTCAAAGTCCCCTGAACCTTTCACACAATTCTACCTATTAACCTTTATTTTCGGTTATTCTTTAAAGAGGCAAATCAAACAAAATAGTACAACCATTTCTTCACTTCTTTCGCAAAGCCAATTTCTTAAGTGAAGCAAACTAGATTATCCCATGTCCTTCCACCCCCTCCACCAACAGCGCCACCACTTTCTACTAATTCTCTTTCTTTCTCTCTCTCTCTCTCTCTCTCTCTCACACACACACACACACACACACACAGATTTGCAGTATCGATCACCAAAGTTTTGCAATTATTATTTTCTCCCCTCCCACAACTACATAGCCAAACAAGCTCAGAGGAAGTCAGGGACAAATCTGTATAAAAACAAATCTGAGCTCAATTTGAGGAATGAAAAGTCCCTAGACCAGGGATCTCAAACTCAATTTACTTGGGGGCCACTGGAGGCAGAGTCTGGGTGAGGATGGGCCGCATCAGATTTTCCACCAAGTGGAGCAAGAGCCCGAGGAAGCCACCCAGGAGTTTCCTTAGCCTGGCTGGGGCTCTGAGGAGGAGGAGGAGGGGCCCACAAGCCTTCGTCACTGGCCACGACCCCCTCTGGCTCTTTCTTCACTACCACCACCACCAGGACGAAGAAGCGGAGAAGGGAGGGAGCCCTGGCGACCGCCTAGTGGGTGGGGGAGGGCATGACATAACTTTTAAAAAAAAACCTTCATAGAATCGCCTTGCCAAAGGAGAAAAGCCCCCATCGGTACCCATGAAATTAAACAGAACAGGATGGGCTCCCCACAGGTGCGCACATGTGCATGCACATGCGCATGCCCCCCCACACACACGCCCCCACAACCTTCCTCTGAGCGCTACCGCCTAGTGGGTGGGGGAGGGCATGACATAACTTTTAAAAAAAAACCTTCATAGAATCGCCTTGCCAAAGGAGAAAAGCCCCCATCGGTACCCATGAAATTAAACAGAACAGGATGGGCTCCCCACAGGTGCGCACATGTGCATGCACATGCGCATGCCCCCCCACACACACGCCCCCACAACCTTCCTCTGAGCGCTCCCCTCAAAGAAAGGCGCACTCAGCAGCAGCAGCTCCCCCCCCCCCGACAGGGGAGCAAAGTTGGCAGCTTGGAGGCACTCTTCGAGGACTGGCCGGGAGTGAGTTCCGCTCTCAGGTATCGCTCGGTGGTGGCTCAGGGAAAGGGGCCAGCAGCACGCCTCGCTTACCAGCTCTCACTCAAGACAGCGCCTCTTGCATCCCCAGAACTGCAAGTATAAATTAGAGTTGCAGTACTAAGCCAATTAATCCCTTAGATCTATCAATTAAAAAAACATTAGATGAACTACAAAGGTGCCTCTGATGAATTGGTTAACGCATTTCCATTTTTCTTTAAACCAAGTGCTTAATGCAAGTGTTATCTTAAATAAGTCATTTCCTTCCATGTGGAAAAGAATAGGGAATGTCTCTTTCAAGACTGTGCTTGCTGCAACATTGAAAAAAGAAAGGAAGTGTTTCTAAATTTGCTTTAGAACTGTTCTCTCCCTCATGTGAAACTTCAGGTAGGCTTATTCTGCAGTTTTATAGCCTCTAGGACAGGGGTCTCAAACTCAGTTTACCTGGGGGCCGCTGGAGGCAGAGTCTGGGCCGCATCAGATTTTCCACCAAGTGGAGCAAGAGCCCAAGGAAGCTGCCTAGGAGTTTCCTTACCCGGCTGGGGCTCTCAGGAGGGGGGGCGTACGAGCCCTCACTGCCGGCCACGACCCCCTCCCCGGCTCCTTCTTCGCTACCAGGAGCAGCAGCAGCAGGATGAAGAAGCGGAGAAGGGAGGGAGCGCCAGCAACCGCCTAGCCGTGGGGGGCGAGGGCACGACATAATTTTTTTAAAAACCTCACAGAATCGCCTTGCCAGAGGAGAAAAGCCCCCATCGGTACCTGCAAAATTAAACAGAATGGGGCGGGGGCCCCAACAGTTGTGTGCGCATGGAGGGTGCAAGTGGTGCTGTCTTGGGAGAGAGCCAGCAAGCGAGGCGAGGCTTTTTTTGACTCTTGACAGCAGAGGACGTGTGGGCGCTTCGGGGGGAGCAGGCAAGGCGGGGGCCACAAACGATCATCCGGTGGGCCTCAAATGGCCCCCGGGCCGCATGTTTGAGACCCCTGCCCTAGACTGATGTGCACTTAAGATATACCATGTTCCTTAATTCTAAGTGTCAATCTGCCTGTTCCTCAGCCATTCCTTTGTATTTGGCTCTGGTAGATTTTAAAGCACTAACAAGGTCAATCAACCTCTGTTTTTATGTAAGCAAAATGCACTATAAACACTTCAAACTGTAGACCGGTATATGTTTGGACTCATTTCTTCTTAGTGAGGGTCTCAAATTCTGCTCCCAAATCCAGCCTTCATGGTTCCACTGTGTGCACAGATATCCATCAGCAAGAAGAGCTACACTCTCCTCTACTTTCATGGGGATGGTGCAACATTATTTGTGTTACATTTGTCAAGTCTGTCACCATAAAATAAAGATTGATTGTTTAGTGTTAAATTAGAAAGGCCCTTACTCTATGCTATTGCATAATTGTCCAGAATACCCCCTTGGCTCTTGATTTAATTATGTTGCCATTGTCAGCATAATGAAATTGTCAGATTTTGTACTGCATTTTTTTTAAAAGAAAAATTTAACTAGCCCGTGCAAGCATAAACACAAACAAGAACAAAAGAAACCAAGTAACTACAAGCACTCAATTGAAAAAAGACCTGGCCGTGTACTTACAGACTTGATAACTGAACAAAAACCAGAAATAAGCAGAGATGGCTGCATACCAGGAAACTAGAAACAAAATAGATTTGATATGGAACAAAGCTGCAGACAAAGAAAACCTGGAGTAATTTTCACCATGATTTCTAATGGACTACATTTCTGTTCTCCAGATGTAATGCTTAATGCTAGCAACACTTATCAACGATACGTCTAAGCAGGGGAATGAAACAGATCCTGGCAAAGGCACAAAATAGGGGTCATAAACACTGCATGACATTATAACCTTACCTTTGTATCAGAATCTACAGCACAACTACTATAATCTGAAACCAATACTACTTCAATGTTTTCATAATTAGTATTGATAGTGATCAAAAGAGAAACAAACATGAATTTATAGTACTTAGTGAAGTAGCTGTACTAGAAAGCTGACCTATATTTGAAAACTATATATAGATCTCTTATCATGGATTATTTAATATGCGCATAATGTTCTCAGAGAAATGGGATACATTACTTAGAAGGAAACCACAGACTTGAGAAATCTTTCCAAAGAATGAATATCTAAGAAATTAAACAATTAAACATTCAAGTCATTGCAATCAATTTTTGTAGGATTCTACTCCACTGCTTATGACAAATTCAGTCATAGTACCATGCCAGGTTTGTCTGCATATTGTGAAAATACAAATAGTCAAGGCCAGAAAAGGGAAAGTTATTTTTTGAATTACATCTCCAGGCTCTTACATCTGGAATTGACAGTGCTGATGCTGGCAGTGGCATTCTGAAAACTGTAGTCCAACAATAGTAGTTTTTACCTTCTCTGCAGAAAACTAGAATAAACTGAACCTAGTAATGATTAGCAGACAGCATTCATCAGATGCCCCTATGTTTGAAGTACAGAACGTGTCATGTCTTATTGTGTTATAGCTATGCTGCTGGATGATAGAATCTTGTAGATTCAATATATATGTACACTGAGACACAAATAATATTGTTTTATATTTTATTCTTGAATTTAAGTTTCATTACATTTAAAAAGTGATTAAACAGACCTGCATAATTTCAGGTACGCTTGAAAAGCAGTACAAATAGTATCTCTTCACACAATATAAAATACAGTAACATAACACTAGAGTTGGCATATTCCACATTGTTTATGCAAGTAAACAAGATTTTGTTTTTTTAAAAAAACAACAACAACAGTTACAATATTATTCTGGAAGTAACCTTCTAAATACAAGCCAGGATCCAAAGAACTGTTCACAATGCACTGTCTTATTAGGGTTTTTCTACACTGCATTCTCACTGCAACTCTTTGCCGAAAAAGCTAGGCCTTGAGATCAGCATACCCTCCGGACTGACTTTTCATGTAGGGCCAAGTGTTACAGCTGGTGCAGGGGGGAAAAACCCCAAGCACTTCTGTCTCATCAGAGCAGAAGTGCTTTTCACGTGCACTCCAGGAGTCTTTGGATGCTAGCCATGGAATGCAGCATCTGTAAGATCTAGTCAGTGGTGGGATTCAGCAGGCCAACAAACGGTTCTGCAGAATCAATAATACATTAGCTACCGGTTCTGTAGAACTGGTGCGAACCTGCTGAATCCCACCACTGGCCAGGATCAGTGGGGGATTCAGCAGGCCAACAAACGGTTCTGCAGAACCAATAATACATTAGCTACCGGTTCTGTAGAACTGGTGCGAACCTGCTGAATCCCACCACTGGATCTAGTCCATGTCTGTTCTAGTATTCCACAAAAGAGGGGGAAAGAGAGAGAGGGACTGCTCTTCCCTTTGAGGTAGCATTTTCCACCTATCCTATAGTATGACGATCTGAAGATATATTTTGAATAGAACATAAATGTTTTTGTATTCAAGGGCCACAAACACATCCCAATGAATTCAACAACAAAAAAAACCCACCCAGTTTCAGTAGTGCTGAAAGCCATGAAAGGTTTAACCAATCTGTTTTGTGTAGTTATGCTCAAAATGAGTAACAATTTGATTTTAAATGATTGTTAAAACTATTTTAACATAAAAACAGATATTACAGACATATATTATTTTTACATTATTATATTTAACTTCTGTTATGGCTTCTAAAAATTTCAGTTTATTCACAGGTTACGGCAGTGCAAATGCTCAGAATATAAAATTGCACAAAAATAAAAGATACTATTTAAATTAGTGAATATGCATCTAAGTTACTTGGATATTATATTAGTCAGGATTAACACAAAGACTGCCTATGAAATAGACAAATCAATTTACAATATGTACAGTCCATAGTGGCACAGGAGAATAAACTCACATCTTAATTGAAATTTGTATACATTTTCATATGAACATCTCTCTAGAATACTGCCTACCAGTGACTTCTTGGGATGTTTATGGCTCACTGAACTTTAAGTGTGAATCATCATCAATCTGATAAACTTCCTTGAAAACTTTATGTAGGTCAGGCTGCAATGCTCACCAAACTTATTTGGAAGGATGTCCTCATGGAATCAATAAGGCTTTCTTCCAAAACGTTGGTGAGTTCTATCAACCTCTTTCTGATTATAGATCACTTTCACAGTCTCTATTCATGTCAGGAGCCATAAGAAAACACACTAGCATATGAATAATTTGAGAGCCAAATCTATATGTATGAATTGCATTATTACAGTCATCAGAGAGGTATTCTTTTTATATCCAAAATAAATTAACAATCACAAACTCCTCTTGTAAGTAAAAAGCAACTACCTACCCAACATCAAATACATATTTTTGAAAGGGAGATTTTCATTATCAAGTTGCTTAGTTAAGTAGGTGGGGAGGGGTTTCAGAAAATTGTATCGATCCATTATAACTGGATAAAGTGCTTCTTCTTCAAACAATACATAATCTTTGGCCTCTTGTCTTCTCGGCCATCTGTTTTGACATTGCAATCCATCCATTTTAACAATCTGGGTCCCAAAACTCATGAATTTTCCCCTAAAACAAAAAGATTATTGAGACAGAGAGGAAAGAGTAGAAATGTATAGAAATGCAATTGGTGATTAAAAAAGAAGTTACTAAGCAAGTATTTTTACATTTTATTTTAGTGTTTATCTCTAAAGGGATTTCTCACTGAGCTACAAAGATTCCTTTTCAGAAAAGCAAATCTCTCCCCTTTTGTATTAATTTTGACACAAGACATTTTAATTTTCATTGTGCATATTACTTTCTATTCTTCAGCTAGTCAGGTGCTTTAAATCACACAGGAAAAGAATCTTTCCAGCTGCATGTGTGCAAGGCATACTTGATCAGGCAAGGCATACTTACACAGTATTGTTTTCATTACCTAATTTATCTTTCATTCTCTGAGTTTTCAATTCTGTGATAGTTTTACTCTTCATATATAATGTAAGCATATAACCCTTCAAGACAGAGAAATATATATCCCTTTACCACCATCCCCAACCCGTTGATTTGTACTGACTAATTAAAAATCTGTCTTAAAACAAAACAGTGTCTCACTTATTTATATCATGCATAAATACACCCTTCCATAAATGTGGGTCATTACCATCAACTGAAGATTTTTATTATTTCTGTATGTGCATACTACAGCATAAAAATAATTTAATGGCACAGTACCTGAGTGAGCTGAGAACTGTGTATCATCTGCTGCCATTTACTGTATGTTCTAGCAACTAAGTCTTTTACCTATATAGAGAAAAACATAAACTGTTTTGGACCTGTTGAGGAAAAGGAGGAGTAGAATGGGATTGTACTGAATTTATTAAATTTGCCTGATTCAACATAGGTATGATCTGGGGTAAATTGTTAGAGCTCAAGTGAGCTGGTACTCGGCTTCAGGAAAGGTCCCATTTGTAAAGCTAGAAAAATATTTATTTTATTTATTTATTCAATATATTTTTACTCAGCCTTTCTCCCTAAAAAGGACCCAACAATATGCAAATCAGAACCATTTCATTCCTTATGGAACTAAGGGCCTGTCCATCCTGACATATAGATATGGTATATGGTTTGCTGATAGCACGATTTGAACTAGAAAAAAAAGGCTATGTCTGCTTGTGTTTGTACTTAGAACAATTCATCCTTCCCCTTTAAGAGTTGTCCCACACCTTTCTGATTCTGGCCTAGGGCATGCATTCTTTTTGGCATAATTCAGAGCCCAGAAGGCTCAGAGCAGCCAAGGAGGCCTGCCACAGCATGGAGGCTGCACAACGCTCTGAAGGCTGGAGTTGCCTCTGCTGCCACAGTGCCAGAGATCACCTTAGTGGCAACAATCAGCAATCGGCTGGGGAGCTGACATTCACAGCTGACAGGCTGCTGTAAGGCTTCAAGTCCCTCTGACCCTGGCACCGCAACCAGTTTTCTGCCTCTGGTTATCAGCTGTCCAGCATAAGAACCAAATGAGGCAGCAAGCAACTGAATGAGAGGCCGGATTCCCAGCCTTTTTGATTGACTTGGAAGTGGAGAGGAGCAGAAGAGAGGGAACGAGCCTCTCTGACACAAAATTCCTGCAAGCTTAAAGGCTCCAGTGGATCACTGAAGTGAAGGCAAGGACCTTTTAAGCACGGTTATGATCACCCCAAATTTCAGTGTGGACAGATGTCTCACATCTCCTGCGAATGAAAAGCAAAAGCATGAGACAACTCACCTTGGTTCTATAGAACAACCTGGGATCTTCTCTAATATCACATTTCACATGTTTTTCCAAGGTACTGCAGAGTTTCAATAGCCATTTCTAGAGAAAAATAAATGTTTAATCCATTACAGTACTTCCAATCTATTTTTTGCTCAGTGTGCAACTGAATAATAGGCTTAGCTCCTAAAGTTCTACCATATTCCCTTATTTTTTGCTAGATATTTTCATGTACTTTACCTATGATTTATTAAGCACACTCTAATACTATCATGGCACACGTATGGGCTGAAATCCTGTTGATTAGCATTACAAAAGGCATTATCTTCAGTCTCTTTCTAGATGGCAATTAAAAGTCACCAATCTGATTCTTAGGAGTGTTCATGTCTATGCTGGCTAGATGAGTGATTGAGAAACACAGAAGTTGGTCTTTTAATTGCCAAGTAGATAATCTATTTCCAAAAAGAATCACAACAGGCACACCAACCAAACTTCTTAGAATGCACTTTACAGTATAAAAGATACACAAAGCTGAATCTGAAAGTTAGTATTTAAGGTACATAACATTTTGTCTTTTTATTTTTCTTTTGTTTTTGCCTGAACCTAAAAGCACTAAAAAACTGCAAACCTGTTATTTAAAGCACTGGTTCTTAACCTTGAAAGGGACGTGGTGGCGCTGCGGGCTAAACCGCAGAAGCCTGTGCTGCAGGGTCAGAAGACCAAGCAGTCGTAAGATCGAATCCACGCAATGGAATGAGCGCCCGTTGCTTTTCCCAGCTCCCGCCAACCTAGTGGTTCGAAAGCATGCAGATGCAAGTAGATAAATAGGGACCACCTTGGTGGGAAGGTAACAGCGTTCCGTGTCTAAGTCGCACTGGCCATGTGACCACGGAAGATTGTCTTCGGACAAACGCTGGCTCTATGGCTTGGAAACGGGGATGAGCACTGCCCCCTAGAGTCGAACACGACTGGACAAAAATTGTCAAGGGGAACCTTTACCTTTACTTCTTAACCTTGGGTTACTCAGGAGTTTTGGACTGCAACTCCCAGAAGCCTTCACCACCAACTGTGCTGGCTGGGGTTTCTGGGAGTTGCAGTTCAAAAACATCCGAGTAACAAAGGTTAAGAACCACTGATTTAAAGTATGAATGCAATCCCGATAAAAATTAGATTACTTCCATGGTGCTGAAGCACACTTGATAACACACAGAAAGCAATGTATATGTTGTCAAGTAATGTAAGACTATTACTTACTTTTTGACTGGGATTTGAAATGTCAGAATTGCTAGCTTCCCTGACCAAGTGAAGAAGAACATAGGTCAGATAATATGCCTGGAAAGTGAATGGGAAATATTTAATAAACATATTGATAATTTGGCTGCCACTAATGTCTATGATGGGAAGAACCTTATATTGCAAGCTTGCCATGAAAGATGAACAATCCTGAACTATCTCAGCCTATTTATCCAAGTAAGCTATTGATATTGGGTTAAAACTTAAAAAAAAACTTTTTTGTACAGCTGGAAACTTATAGGGGGATTTGCCAGTTGCAGTTCAAGGAATTAACTTTTAGTTAGGGAAATAGCACCAATAGTCCTGAACTACCCGTAGCTTGATTTTACTGCCTTGGTTAGAAACCCTGAAATGTACTCTTTGGCACTTTAATGCTTTTTACCTTTTTGTCAGTATTTTTACCTTTTCAATAAAGTTATTATTTTAGTATGGACTTCTGCTGTGGAAGATCTAAACAGAGATACACTTGGTTAAACTAGTCCAGTGAGCCAAGTCTCTCATTTCATATTGCCTGTGCAAATTGGTTTCTTTGAGCATGTGCAAAGTCCTGGGTTTTACACCCGGAAAATTAATCTGTGATTAAGCAAATAAAATCATATAATGAGGAGACTGGTGGCAGCAAAATGAGAAGAAAAAAAAGGGAATATTTGCATTGGGAAAGAAAACAGCCTGCCAGGGATTGTCTCATCCCTCACAGAAAGTAAGGCTCAGAGCCCCATCAATGATATCACAACATAGTCCAACATCTGTTTTCTTCTTTAAACCACTTACAAGTCTAGATACATTAGGGACTGGTTCATATCCAGAAGACAGAGAAGTGCTTTGGTCACTTCCCAGCCTGCTTCCAAGTCATGAGATAATACAACAAAGAAGAGAGGGCTCAGCCATGCTGCAGAAGACACTGGGATGAAACTGTGTCTACAGCCCTCTGCATCTCTCCATTCCACAGTGAGACACGGGTCTCAACAAGACCATTGACTTTGTCATAACAAGACAGCCATGTGTACTGACAACTCCCTACCATCCACTCCCATTTGCTGCCACGCTTACATGATATATGAACCAACTCTTTCTAGTTTGAAAAACAATCTGCCAACAACACTTTAGTGTTTGACATGATTTGGTGAAGGGAGGGAAAAAAATCGGGACCTGTACATCTTTTCTTTAAAAGGCTAAACAAACAAAGCTTAAAACAACCTTCCAAAGCAATCTGCTCCACTGAATCCAAAGGGAATTAGACCCTTGTTCCTTTCGGTCACTAGAAGATGTGAGCCTAAATGATTGTGGTCAGGAGCAAATTGACAAAATGCTATTACACAGTGGGATAAGAGAGGACTCCACCCCTGCACTCTTCAACAGGTATCAGAAACATCAGCAATTGTACTCGCCAGAGATCTATATACAGTTGTGTGGTCAAAGACAGTGCTCAACTAAGCAATCTTTTCAGCAGGTGAAAACACTGCCAAAGGGAAAAAGGGGTGACTGGAGCACTTCTGTGAATTACATGAATTGTACTTCTGGCTCTAAATATGCATCAGTTGGGACCTAGATTCCCTAATCTTGAAAGCAGTGACATGTTTTCAGGCAGATTCTAATACAAGGAGGAAGAGATCTTCCTTGAGATCATATCCTCCTTAATAATTCCAAACCTCTGTTTAGTTAAGATAAAGTAGATGATCTCTATTAATCCCTGTAAGAGTTTTATTGACTGGCCATAGTTAGAGCACTTGAAAAACCTCCAACACAATTTCACTAAAATATACAAGGTTTTTTTCCACCTACAAAGGGATTCAAGTGGTGTAAAATGTAACAAAAATGTAGAAGGAAATTCATCAGAAAAAAACAGTGAACAACCTCCAAAAACGTCACTCCTACTCTTTCTGATCCACTCATTTTATTTCACTTTTTCCTTGCTTGCTCATGTTGCTTCTACCCACCTAGTCTACCCACCTAGTCTGGCATTCAATGTTACATAACTGCAGATCCTTCTAACGTATAAGGATGTGATTTGCAAGTAAACAAGACAGAAGCCCCACACACCCAAAACTCTCAATTGGTCTCAGACTTTGCCCAACTGTTTTGCAGAAATGGCATCTGACATTACCTGGGGTTCAAGTTCAGAAAGTGAAGGCTCTTTACTATGACCATCATTCTGTTCCCGTGTTTCTGAAAGGCTCTTCAACAGACTTGATGGTTTCATCTTGACTAGATCTTCGCAGAGAAGTGACATCTATTTAAATCCAAACCAAGGAAAGATATATAAGAGGAGCATAACTTCCTTACTTGTTTTTGGTAGCATGAAAAAGAGCTAAAAATCTGTAAATCTGGAAGATAATCTCATACAACTCAACAATTTTCTAAAATGTTTGATCATATAGCCTCTGCAATATCTATTCTGTTAATGAACTTCCATTAGATATTTAAGAAATCTCAGATTAGCTCAATTTCACTGTGGATAAATGTGCGACGAACCACAGGAAAGCACTTACTGCTTGTCATAAAGTACTAGCCAGAGAATAGAAGCAAGCAGAATCAAACTGGACGAATAAATGGGAATTCAAAAAAGGAGGATACTAAATTCTTTTCTAAAAGAAAGAAGGAATCTGTTGTTAAGCAGACAAATACAGACAACACTGCAATAACTTAGAGATATGGACATTGAGGGGTAGACAGAAGGGCAGTGATGGCAAATTAGTGCAGCAACAGTGAGAGCAAAAATGGTCAAGATCCATGAAGACTTGCTCAGAACAGAACTCATGGGTTCCAAAGTGGACCTTTGAGGGTGAGAACTTTTAGCATATAAGCATGTCTTTTGCAAATAACCAAGAGAAGGCCCGTCCTCCTCAAACTCTCAATTGGCCTTAGAAACGGCCCAGTTGTTTTGCAGAAATAATGTTGCTACCATCTGTCTTTTGTCTTCATCTTCCAAAATGTTGCACAGATTTGTAAAACTTACTCTGCCCCCCAAAAAATTATTTTAAAAACTGTAGACTCTGCAGTAGAGAAAGCTCAAGGTGATACAACAAAGTCTTTTACTTTATTTGGAGTGAAAAAATCTGATGTTCAAGCTGAATTCCAAAAAGGAAGAGGCACTCAAGATCACAATGTAAATATCAGTGGCTACTGAAGTGCACCAAAGAATTTCAGAAGATGATCAATGTTTTATAGACTACAGCAAAGGTTTTGACCATGTCGTCGTCTAGTCGTGTCTGACTCTTCGTGACCCCATGGACCAGAGCATGCCAGGCCCTCCTATCTTCCACTGCCTCCCAGAGTTGTGTCAATTTCATGTTGGTTGCTTCGCAGACACTGTCCAGCCATCTCATCCTCTTTCGTCCCCTTCTCCTCTTGCCATCACACTTTCCTAGCATCAAGGTCTTTTCCAAGGAGTCTTCTCTTCTCATGAGATGGCCAAAGTACTGGAGCCTCAGCTTCAGGATCTGTCCTTCCAGTGAGCACTCAGGGTTGATTTCCTTTAGAATTGATAGGTTTGTTCTCCTTGCAGTCCAGGGGACTCTCAAGAGCCTCCTCCAGCACCACAGTTCAAAGGCATCAATTCTTCGGTGGTCTGCTTTCTTTATGGTCCAGCTCTCACTTCCATACATCACGACAGGAAAAACCATAGCTTTGACTATTCGGACTTTTGTTGGCAAGGTGATGTCTCTGCTTTTTAAGATGCTGTCAAGGTTTGTCATCACTTTCCTCCCAAGAGGCAGGCGTCTTTTAATTTCGGGGCTGCTGTCTCCATCTGCAGTGATCATGGAACCCAAGAAAGTAAAGTCTGTCACTGCCTCCATATCTTCCCCTTCAATATCCCAGGAGGTGATGGGACCAGTGGCCATGATCTTAGTTTTTTTGATGTTGAGTTTCAAGCCATTTTTTGCACTCTCCTCTTTCACCCTCCTTACAAGGTTCTTTAATTCCTCCTCACTTTCTGCCATCAGGTTGGTATCACCTGCATATTGGAGGTTGTTGATATTTTGACCATTTTTAGATCATGAGTTCCTAATGTATAATGTTTACTGTGCATAAGAAACTACCATTAGGATAGAATTTCGAGAGATAAAATGGTTTCCTATAGGCAAAAGTGTCAGACAAGAGTGCATTTATTCACAGAATAATAAAGTTGGAAGTGACCTATAAAGTCATTGAGTCCAACCCTCTGCTCAATGCAGGAATACAAATCAAAGGATATGTGCCAGGTGGTTGTCTAAATTTCTCTTGAATACCTCCAGTGTTGGAGCACTCAACACCTCTCGGGGTAATTGGTTCCACTGCTGTACTGCTCTAACAGTTAGGACGTTTTTCTTGATATTTAACCAAAATCTGACTTTCTGTAATTTGAGCCCATTGCTGCATGTCCTGTACTGAGGGATAATCGAGAACAGATCTTGCCCCTCCTCTGTATGACAGCCTTTTATGTATTTGAAAAGTGCTCTTATGTCTCCCTTCAGTCTTCTTTTCTCAAAACTAAACATGTCCAGTTCTTTCATGCTTTCCTCATAGGGCTTGGTTTCCAGCCCCCCCAATCATCCTTGTTGCTCTCCTCTGAACTTGCTCCAATTGTGCAGAACTGGACACATTACTCTAGGTGAGGCCTAACCAGAGCCAGAAAGAGGGGAACTAGTACCTTGCGGGATTTGAAGACTATACTTCTGTTAATGCAGACTAAAATAACATTTGCCTTTTTTGTAGCCCCGTGACAAGTTGGTTCATATTCAGCCTGTGATCTACAACAATTCCAAGAGCCTTCTCACTTGTAGTATTGCTGAGCCAAATATTCCCCATCTTGTAACCTAGGCTTCTTTTTCCTAGGTAGAGTACTTCACATTTCTCCCTGTTGAATTTCATTCTGTTGTTTTCAGCCTGGTGTTCAAGCCTATCTAGATCATTTTGAATTTTGTTTCTATATTCCAGGGTATTAGCTATTCCACCCAATTTTGTGTTATCTGCATATTTGATTAGCATCCCCTGAAGCAGGTTATTAATAAAACTACTGAAAAGCACTGGGCCCAGGACTGAGCCTTGGGGTACCCCCGCTTGTTACCTCCTACCAGTTGGAGGAGGAGCCATTAATCATCACTTTCTGAATAAGATTTGGTAGACAATTATATATCACCTGAAAGTTGTTATATCTAGACCACATCTAGTTAACTTGTGAATCAGGATATCATGGGGCATTTTGTCAAAAGCTTTGCTGAAGTCAAGATATGTCTACAACATTCCCTTTGTTTATCAGGGAGGTTACCTGATCAAAAAATGGGATCAGATTAGTCTGGCAGGATTTGTTTTTGATAAATCCATGTTGGCTTCTAGTTATTACTGCATTGTTTTCAAGGTGCTTGCATAGTGACCACTTTATACTCTATGCCAAAATTTTCCCTAGGATTGATATCAGGCTGAATGGTCTGTAGTTCCCAGGTTCCTCCTTTTTGTCCTTTTTGAAGATAGGGAAATCATTAGCCCTTCTCCAATCATCTGGCACCTCAACCATTTCCCATGATGTCAAGAAAATGACAAAAATCTTCCATATTCTTGTATTCCCGATCACTGTGTATGGGTGTGGAAGCTGGACAGTTAAGAAAGCTGGCAGGAAAAAAATTATTTGTCTGAAATGTGGTGCTGGATAAGAGCTTTGTGGATATCCTGGACTGCCAGAAAGATAAACAAGTGAGTCCTGCCTAGAACAAATCAAGCCTGAACTGTCTCTGGAGACAAAAATGTTGAATACTAGGAAAGGTTAGCAGAAGACCAAATACAAGATGATTGAGTCACTAAAGGAAGCTACAGACTTGAGTTTGCAAGAAGAGCTGAGCAGAGTTGTTATGGACAGGACATTTTGAAAATCCTTCATTCACTGAGTTGCTGTAAGTCAGAGGGGAATTGATGGCACGTAAGAACAAGAGGAAGAAGAGGAAAAAACAAATGAGAGGATTAATGGTTAAAAAGACTGAACAATGTATTTGTGGGATTTTGTGTCCTCTTTGGGAGAGCTGTGAAAATCACAGCTAATCTAATAACCATCAGTGACCAAAAAACCCCAACAACAGTGTTAACTGAAGGAAACAAATAGTTTAATAAAAGGTTTATACTTCACCTGCTCATCATGTTTGCTGGGTATGTTGACATCATTTTTTAGAAGCTTTGAGATTATCACCAAGCTAAGATGTTTTCTTAATTGCCTGGAAAAGTGAAGCTCAAGTGAAGAAAATATGTTTCGACTTTATATTTTTGCACATACTCTGAACTGACATTCATACTGAACCGTACTACAATAAATGTAAACTTACTTTCCACGTGATATCCAGTTGGGGACAAACTGAACCAGCCACAGGAGATCATGATGGTGGCTGGACAGGCAACTTATAGAAAGACATAACTCTGACATCTTAAAAATAAATAAATAAAAATTGTTAATAGAATATGAGGGTAGCTGCTAAAACCAGTTTCATTGTCTTTGAAAATATTAAATACTAGGCATAAGAAAAATACAAAACATAAAAGAGTCACTTTTTTATCTTTAAAGAGGGTATTCTAACTCATTAACATTTCTTAACATTACAAAACAGAGTTTTGTACTTTTATCACATATATGTCTAATATGGAAATAAAATTGGCTAACATTTAGAAGAGCTGCCACTACATTTATTGCTCAAAGTGTACACCTCATCAGTCAAAAGCTAATCAGAGCACTAATACACACAGCATTCAACATTAAATAATTTGAATTTCTTCAGAGGTTTTGGTAAAACATACATCCTACAAAACACAGCCAAATATTTTCTCTTAAAAAGTTCATATTTTAACTGATTATCGAGAACCTTATAAAATTAAGGTCTGATTTACACAGTTATGTCTAAATAACTGAAAAAAATTACATTACCTTTGCATCCCACTCTCTGATAATTTCCAGCAGTTTTATAATGAGGCATTGCAAATCCACTAGTGGAAACTGCTTCAGCTGAGTTTCCAAACTCAGTTTAAACAACAGCAACAGCAACAACAATATTTCTTTTTCTGTGTAACCTTCTGGGTTTATGCTTATACATAATCGTAGAAACTATGGGCACAAGAAAAGGACAGATAATGATTTGCAAAGATTTTAGCAATATTTATTCTGATCTCAGATATAAGTGTAGATAGTGTTTTTCTTTCACTCTGAATCTGTACTTTTTCATTTCTTAGTCAAAGAAGAGTACCTAGTCAACTCCTACTAATTATTAAGGCATAGTGATTTTTGAAAGCATTAGCTGTCAAAAGACAACTGTTATTTTGTTTATAGATGAACTGGCAGTGAATACCTGTAAGAATTATTGTCGCCTCTAATTCCCAAATACTTATATTCATACATATACACATACAGGTAAAATGTAACTTTAACACTATATTGCAAGGCAATACACATCTTTTGCCTGATACAGTAGTACCCCCACATCTATGGAGGATCCGTTCCACAATCTACCATAGATGTCTGAAACCACAAATACAAGGGAACCCTATATACAACATAAAGTGCTGTATACAGGACGGTACCCACAGAGAAGTGAAACTGCAGGTACCGAGTCCACAGATATGGGGTCCTAATGTATAGCTAAAGTTAACCAGTGTTAGGCATCATTTATTTCAACAGCAAAATTAAGCACAAGGCTAAGTTTTCACAGTGAGAGTAGTGGGATGTAAACCTGATTAATTTTGACCACATTGTGTTTCTGATTTTTAAAGCACTGCAAAAGTATACTGTGTTGACAATTCCATATTATATACTTTAGTATACAAGGACTTTGCTGTGCACCATAACTACTAGCACAGATGATCAAAGTATTCTTAAGCATAACAAAAAGGACATTCAAAAAGGAGAGTGCAGGCATTCTTACCTTAGCCATATTGCAAAGGCTGGTGTTTATTAGAAGAAAGAAAGGAACGGAGCTTCCAGTGATGTTTCCACTTGATTGCTGCTTCACACGCACTTCACACCTATTTAAAAAGGGATTGTTTTCTATGAATTTTACCACATTACAACAAAACCAATATTATACAAGATAGCTCCATCTAGATTATATTCAGAGGACAGAGTGGGAAAAATTCACAATTAGATCCAGTTGCAGAAGATCCATGAAAATGAGTGATAATTACACAAATTATTTTGATTCAGATGGGCTTACTTCTAGCTGCAACTAACACTGGATTTAGTCCTATGAAATATAAAGTTAAGACATAATGTTCCACACCTTGAGGCCTCATGAAAAGGAGATGTATACTTAGTACAGGCATGCATATATGGGTTGAGTGATGTGTGAATGTTAGGGTTGTACAATACAATTAAAATATCTCCATAAATATGAGAAGTTTCAGACCAACAAAATTTATGCCAGTTTTAAGTGAGAGTTCAGTGCTATTCTGGCCACAGAAACAGCAACACAAATGTATAAAGGGAAAGGGATCATCACTGAAAGCCAATATGTACTTCAATTGAACTGTCACTCAAATGATGATTTTCAGAAACTGAAGTAAACTTATCTTCTTGGGAAACAGATAGATGCCTCTTTTAAAATACATTTAGAGACGAGAAATAAACTACCAGCCATGCTCCTGAACTCTTCTGCATACACTGTGCTGAGGTAAGAGATAGAAAACCTCAAATGTACACGTATCTGCATACCATGTAAGTAACAAAACCAAAGACTTTAACAGTTCTGCATAATAATCCTAGGAACAGCATGCCAAAAAAGTTATTATAATAAGCACTTACATAATATCATTTTCAGTAAAAGCAGGCTGGAAATGCCGCAGAGGAAATAGTGCACTGAAGGGAACACCCATATTGATTAGCACAGTTGCCAAATCAAACAACGATGGAATCCATGGCTTTGGTTCACCATCAGCCGCTGAAGCTGCAGATAGAAAGCATTTGACAAATCATAAGAACGGGGAGAGTGTGAACATAAGTTCACTCAATGTAGATAAGAGTTTTGCTTTGAAGTAATTTCAATATATAGGAGAGGAGAAGTGAAAAGAATTAGAGAACAGTTGGTTATGAAACAAGTATGGCATGTACTTCAGGGCACTGCAATAGTATTTTCTAAGGGAAAATAGATTAGTAACATTTCTGCAGTGATACTTGATATCAACTTATCACATCTGCTATGCTACTATTTTCTTTGCAGTACAGTGGTGCCTCGCTTAACAGGCACCCCGTTTAACGACGAATCCGCATAGCGATGAAGATTTTGCGATCGCTTTTGTGATCGCATTGCGATGTTCCCTATGGTTTTTGGAGCGATCTTGCGCTCCATTTAGCGATGTTTCCAATGGGGAAATTTCGCACAGCGATGTTCGGGACCTTGCTTTGCTTAGCGATGACAGTTTAGGTCCCCGTTTCGCTTAGCGATGTGCGCTTTCGCTATTTTAAGTGTGTCTTAAAATGTTCAAAAACTGTTTAAAATGCTTGGAATCATTAGCGCTCCTTGGAAAACCTACAGTTCAATGCATTCCAATGGGGGAACAGCTTTTCGCTTAGCAATGTTTCCTATGGTGATTTTCGCTTAAAGACGGTAATCCATTCCCATTGGAACGGATTATCCGGTTTTCAATGCATTCCTATGGGAAATGGTGTTTCGCTTAGCGATGTTTTCCCATAGCGATGTTTTTTTGGGAACCAATTAACATCGCTAAGCGAGGCGCCACTGTATTTTAGCAGATAATGGATTAGCAACCTTGTCAGTCACATTGTTTTTAACTTAATTTGCATGGATTTTAAAAAATGCAATCACTTTAGTTTTGAATAGCTGAAATCCTGTTACTTTGTGTAACAAATTGGGTCACTGAAATTAGAATCCCAGCTAGGACTCTTTAATTGCTGGCTGGAAGCGAGTGAATGTTACGCCTTTTGTTATGCGAAGCAACACAATTTCTACCAATTAATATAATAAATTAAACGTTTTCAATTTTTCACTTAATCATCTCACAAGTTTCATCTTAGGATACTTACCAGTTTTAATTGTTAGTGTCATCAACATATTCAAAATCTTTCTTGAAACTGAGCTGTCTGGATGAATTGTCATAATCTATTTAAAGGAAACAAAAATGAAAAAACTGAAGGACACTTATTGAATATCTAGTTAAACCTCCCCCCATCTTCTCTTCCTGTGATATGGAAATACAGTGGTGCCTCGCACAGCAAGGTTAATCCGTTCCGGATTAACCCTCGCTGTGTGAAAGCATCGTTGAACGGGGCAGGAAAAGCCATTGGAACGCATTAAACATGGTTTAATGCATTCCAATTGGGCCGAATACTCACCGTTCAGCGATGCTTCCCTATGGCCGGCAGCCATTTTCGCGCCCTCCCCTTGCTTAACGAGGGCGCGAAAACGCTGCGCGCAGCCATTTTGGGGCTTCCGGTGGCCATTTTGTAGCCGCGGAACAGCTGATCGGCGGGTCGCAAAGTGAAGGTCGGTAAGCGAACCGCTTACCGACCTTCGCTCTGTGATTTTCACCCATTGGGGCCGTCGCTCTGCGATCGCATTAGCGATCGAAAAAACGTCCCCGTAGAGCGAATTCATCGCTCTACGGGGCGCTCGTTGTGCGAGGCACCACTGTATAGAAATAAAGCACAAATGTCACTTGATGCATTGTAGATCTGAAGCAGTCCTATTAAGCTAATGATAAATATAGCCTTGACTGAAATCAATATGCAAATAATAGTGATTTCACATTCTTCTAAATTACCATCTGAGGAAGATAATACACAGTTGATATGCCTGTTCCTTGCCAGAAACAACTCAATTCTCAGCACTAGTTGTTCTGTGATTACAGAAGAAAGAATACTGTGGTTGCTGCTGGCAGTACTGATTATTTGTTGCTATGTTATAAATCACTTTGCAGATTATTTTGTGACGTTTGGTACAGAACTCTTTAATAGAAAACTGTGCTTAAGTAGTTTTGTAAATGTCACAAAGTTTCCTGAACTGAAGGTAGCCTGAGAGAATAGTCTCCATCATATTCCGCTCCAGCATAAAGATTTCCAACCTATATATTGTGAAAGCCCAGGAATGATGAATCAGAAAACATTCCTTTGCAAAGAGATTCACCATGTTTTTCTCTGCCAATACAGTGGTGCCTCGCATTGCGACGTTAATTCGTTCCACAAAAATTGCTGTTGCACGAAAACGTTGCAATGTGAAATAAAAAAACCATAGAAATGCATTAAAACGCGATTAATGCATTCCTATTGGCTTAAAACTCAGAGTTCAGCGAAGATCCTCCATAGCGCGGCCATTTCTGGTGCCTCTTAAGCGAGGAATCCATCCCAGAAAACAGCGGGCGGCCATGTTTTTTCCCTGACGGCCATTTTGAAACCACCAATCAGCTGTGCGAAAATAGTCGCTTTGCAATGCTCAGTCATCGCAAAGTGAAAATACCCCATAGGGAACATCGCAAAGCGATCGCAAAAAGTTCATCGCAAAGCGATTTCATCGCTAAACAGAGCAATCGCTAAGCGAGGCACCACTGTACATGCAAGTCAACTATATCCATGCTTATTTCATCAATTTCTGCCCTTATGAAAGCCATGTTCATGTGACAGTACCAAATCAGTAAAGGGATAAACTTTTGACACATTATTGGCCCGTTACTGCTACTTATGTAATTATATTATAACTGAAATCCGGTTGCAGTTATGCAAATAACTTTTAGAGGCAAATTGCTGCAAGTTATTTATATAATATATAATCTTAGAACTGCAAGCTGGAAAGGAGCCTATGGATCATCACATCCAGCCACTGTCAGGAAGGCCAAGTGGGGAATCTAACTCCCAGACTCTGGCTCCACTGCCAGATACTTAAATCACGGAGCTATCCAGCAGTCCACAATCACTAAAATAGATATCCAGCTGTTCACAGGTGTTGCACGCTGAGTTGTGTGACTTGGTGTGCAACAGATAATGCCAACAGAGATCTCCTAACTTGCAGCAATCTGCCTCTAGACATTACGTCTTTTGTGTAACTGTGCAACAGGATTTCAGCCAACAGGTAAAAAAATAAATGGCCTGCTCCGTGAGTGGAGAGAAGAAAGATTGCAGGACACTGAACATATTGTATAACATTTGACCAAACTTGACAGATTTCACTGCATGACAAAGTGTAATCGAAGACCCATTCTATGTACTGGCTCAGTCTTTCTGGACACATAGTGTCACCATGCTGTAATGCTAAAAATGGAGAGACTGCAGACATTTGAAGAATATAGTAAGAGCAAACTCCAGGAGCTGGGGGTAGAGGAGACAAGCAGTCTAGAAAATTAAGTTAACAAATTAAAACTCACATTCCATATGGATTTCCTTAAAAGTGCTATCAGTTCAATACAACATTTAATAAGAACCATCTCACCTGAAACATCCACTTTAGAATGGGGACAGGACAAGGGAAATTATGGTAAGCAGACATAAGTAAGCCTTCACTGATTACAAAAAGCTGTTGTGTTATTCCACATCTGAAAAAAGAAACATCAAGAATCAATTACTTTGGCACTTTCAACATTAGCCTGTCCACTAAATTTTAACATTTTAATAAAAACAAATCCAGAAATTCAAAGAGCCCAGACTAGAACAACAAACATCTATTCAGATGAAAAACAAAGCTTTCAAATGTAACTACGTTATACTAGCCCCTCATGTGAAAAACACTTCTTCAAGTAGGGAATGTCTATAGTAAAAAAAAACAAAATACTGTATCAATAACTGGTTATCTTCTGGAATAGTTAAAAACAGAGGGCACTGGCTAAAACAATCCAATGTAATAGTAATTAAGATGGCAGGAAGGTGTTCCATGAATACTCACTGAAGGTTGACCAGTGAAGTAATCACTTAACAGCTAATACAAAGATACATTTGGGTGCACTCGGACACCTATCTCCAAATTTGACTAATCAGAAACTCTGACACATAGAAAAAAATTGCCTCCCTACAGTTTGCAAAAGTAATGGACGTGGGCATAAAAAAACATGCTATGATAGTTTTACAAATCCATCCTTACCCCAATAGATATTTTTCAATAGGATTCTGAGGTTGAAATACAGAATTCCTCAAATCAAGGTTATGTTGACTGAAAATTTTCCCAGCATGTGGTATCTGAAATATATTTTCTCCTGGGTGCTGGTCAGGAATAGCATCACCAATTACTGAAAATTTCTCTATGAATGCTCTGTAATATAAAATTCCGTTAACAAACATTTAATCCTCAGTACTGTTTAAGGAACATTTATCTTAAGCCAACATTTGTTAAATAGCTACCCTCTAGATTTACAGCACAACAACTTCTATCATCTGCAGTTACCATGCCTGCTAACTGGGGATGATGGGAGCTGTGGTCCAGGCTATCTGGAGGATATTAGGTTGGAACAGGTCTTCCCAGACCAGCTGTTTTCCAAACTGGAGACTGCTAAGAAATTCCAAAGGGAGAGCATGGAAATGGAAGAAAAGGTGATAGCCATATGCTGTTTGCACATGTATGTAGACACTAACTTCCTACCACTGTTACCAGATGGGATTCTGAGAAACCCTCAAGTTTCTTCTGTTGAGATACAGCCTTTGCTAGTGCCAAGGGTGCTATCATGAGAGGCAGAGCAGTGTGTGGACAGAGGGCTTCCTATTGTTGACTGCCACCCATTGCTTGTCTTCCTTTCCCCCCTCTCCCTGTTAATAGTTTGGGGAAAGTAACCCAGCGCAGATGCTTGGAGTGAAAAGAGCAATGGCTACAGCAATAGTGTTGGAGAAGTTTAGTAAGGAAAAGTGCAGAAGAGAGTGACAAAAATGATGAATGAGCTATGGCACCTCCCTTATGAGGAAAGGCTACAGCATTTGTGGCTTTAGTCTAGAGAAAAGACACATGAGAAGGGACATGATGCTACAGCATTTGTGGCTCTTTAGTCTAGATAAAAGGTACTGTACATGAGAAGGGACATGACTGAGATGTATAAAAATTATACAGGGGATGGATAAAGTAGATAGGGGGAAGCTCTTTTCCCTCTCACATACTAAAACCAGGGGATATCCACCCAAATCGAGTGTTGGGAGAGTGAGAACAGACAAAAGACATTTCTTTACCCAGTGTGTTGTTAGTCTGTGGAACTCCTTGCCACAGTATGAGGTGATGGCCTCTGGCCTAGATGCCTTTAAAGGGGGATTGGACAGATTCCTGGAGGAAAAGTCTATCGCAGGTTACAAGCCATGATGGGGATGTATAATCTCCAGGCGTAAAAGGAAGGTACCTCAAAATGCCAGATGCAGGGGAGGGGGATCAGGAGACAGGCACCTAGTTGTCTCATGTGCTCCCAGAAGCATCTAGTGCGGCCACTGTGAGATCCAGGGGACTGGATCTCTTCTTATGTAAGGGAGGCCTGATCAATCACTCTTCAAGGGAATCTTCAAGAATCCAGAAAGGGGGGCTCAATGTATGCATCCTGTCCCAACCTGCAGCTACTACTTGATCTTGTCTCCTCACTCACTTTTGTTGTCTTAAGAAAAATCTAATAAGCTTCAAAATGTAATAATTTTTCCTCAGAGAAAAGTTTTTGCTTTTATTTTAAAACTACAGTTCTGTATTTCCTATAAACGCAATGGGTTGAACCTGATTTCTTTTTTAAGAGTGTGGCTAGAGATACAAGAAGTTTTCATTCTACATCTCATGCACAAAGAGGAAAAAAACCAAAGGAATAAAATGGGACTTTAAGGTCCCAAGTCATGGTTTCAATGTTCTGAATCACCCCACTGATCAGGCTAATGGAGGTGATACTATGATTGCCATTAAGGTATATAGGGCATAATGAATGGGACTGTCCCCCAAGCAAATATTAGGGAAGGCAACAGTTAGAAATCTGGCAAAAGAGGAGGATTACTTTGATCAGTGTTGCAAAATGCAATTCACCAAGTGTACCCACGTGAGAAAACAAATAAATTATTAAAATGAGGAGACCTGTGTTCAGCAGACAGTTCACCATCATAAGAGTCTTCTTCTTCAGGTACAGAATTTATTTCAATTGCCTGTTTGATTTGCAGCAGCTGTTGCTCTAGTTCATCTACCCTGCAGTTGAGATAAGAGTATTTAAAAAGAACCTTGGCCTCTGGTTATGGCAACATACTTTATAGCAGCTTTAAACATTTCTACATTTCCTCTCTGAGAACAGGTAAGTCTGATATTTCTGGCTGTCAGCAAAATACAAAAAGGCAAGAACAGATCACTAGATTTTATTACTAAGTGCTTCTCTTTCACAAAGTTATTTCAAAAAGAATCAACAATATGTGCATTCTATGTAAAAGTTCCGCAATAAATTCTTCATGACAGAAAGAATATCTAGATGTTTCACCTACACAGCCTACCAACTATCCAGAATCCTCTTGTCACAATCAACTAATCCAGCATCTGTTATAGACACTTTGCATGGTTGTTGTTTTAAAGTAGTGGTTGTACTGAGCAGCAGTGGAACTGCTCAGTACAACCACAAAAAGTATCAGAGGACTACAGCACCTGAAGGCAGTTCTCTCCTTGGCTTAAATAGGTAGCTCTTTGAAAATGGAAGAAAGGCATTTCAGTGTGGACTTCATCTACCAGAAATAAATATCAAACTAAGGATGTCCTTGTTTTAAAAAAAATAATTGTGTGAGATAGCTCAGCTACAGCAATAATACGTGAACTGTGCAAGACAAACCATCAAATAGCTCCATATCAAAAGCTAATATTTATTATCTGCGTCTTGCCATCCTTATTATGTTAACCAAACTTGTGGAACAATGTCATGTACAATTATGTACTTTAAATCTTATGAAACTACTGCTAACTCATCCCCTCTCACTGTATCCAAGTGACAGACTGAGACCTCTGCAAACAATAGGATGTTTATTGGGAACTCACAGTATATTTATTTATTTTATATTTATTTATTTAAAATATTTTTACCCTGCCTCTCTCCTTGAAAAGGACCCAAGGCAGCTTACTACAATGAAAGACAATATTTGAAGTTGAAAACAATGAGGATATAATAGTGGTTATTATTAAAAAAATGATATTTAAAATTATGAACAATGAATAAGGAGCCATCTTAGATCAATTAACTGCCAATATTGAGGCAAAGATCAATAAGCATACAAAAATCTAAAACATATCACTCTGAGAGGAAAACACAAAGCAGTAATGCATAACTATCTATCTAAAAATCACACACAGGTAGATGGTTATTGAGGGAAGGCTTGTTTGACGAGGAAGGTCTTCATTTGATACACTATAAAGACAGAGTGCTGGATTAAATTTCAGGAGACCTGGGTGCAAATCTCATACTGGTGGATGACTTCAGTAAAAAAAATGCCTTAAATATTCCCCATATCCTGGAAACCCTACTAAAGTTGCCAAAAGACTGAATTGAATTGAGAGCACATAACATACAAACCAATTCTTGAAGAACATTGAAAGTTGGTGGTGAGATTTCTCTTTTGTCAAACATTGCCTTCCCTTGGTGGTAATCTGCTGGGGGGCATGTTATGGAGTGTTACCTTATCCAATCAATGGCTTTGTCATAGCATGTTTGGGAACAAAAAGGAACAGTCCAAATGCCAAAGGACAGTTAGTCTATCACTCTTTATTAGATTTAAGGAGGGTGATCCTCAATTGCATTAACAGAAAAAGTAATGCATACCTTTTGAATTCCTCTTTCTCCTTCAGGAGATGTTCCAGATGATTCATGTAGGAGAATTGAGTCTCAAAAGGTTTAGAAAGCTTAAGAAAAGAGGTGTTGTTAGAAACATGAACATTTTCATTCTATTTTCTATAACTAGACCATTATATAGCTATCTGTTCAAGAAAACATTTGAAACTAGTTAATAAACGGTAAATGAAAGACTGTCCAAAGTGCTCGCTCACTCTCCAGTGCAGCAAATGGGAAAGTCTGCAGATAATCATGAATCTATTACAAAGACCTCCCACTTGTGTTTACCAGCTTCTCTAACAGAATAATTGAACCAAGGAGCATCCTGTTATGTTATGCCACATAAAGCTGATGACACAGTCATAGCTTTTTTTTAAAGGGGGAGAGATTAAAAGTTTCCATTCCAGCCCCCCCCCCCCAGTTCCAAGGCTTGCCCAAGATCCTTTTAGTCCTGGGGAACATGCAAGGAGTCTTTCATGTCAGCAGTCCTGGTAGCTGCAATTTCTGAACATTAAAGATTTCCTCATGCAGCCCTCAATGATTTATCCAGGACAAAAAGGATTCTAAGGGAACCTTGGAATCTGGGGGCAGGGGGGGGGACAAGAAACCCTTCAGCCATCGTTGGTGACATCATCAGTCCTGCGCAGCATAAGTTAGTAACAGGATTTTCGGCAATGAAAGCTACAGGAGAGCTAGTACAGAAATGACCCATTGTGGCCTTTTTCTACTGTAAAATATCATGCTTGCCAATATGAAACATTAAGATTTTCCCCTGTCCATAGGATTAATCAAGAAATACAAGGCACAACACATCAGTCTTGCTTCGTGGATTTTAAAAGTGAAAGTATCCATGCTTATTTGTACAAATCCTTTCTCTTTCTCATTTAGACAGCAGGTGCTCAAGTACAGCTGCAGTAAAACAACTGGGTACTGTTTTCATAAGGACACTGCACACATTTTGTATGTGCTTTCCAATGTATTCCATGCTAAATGGATGAGTCTTGATTTAACATACGTGGTTGCTATAACAAAAAGGTAGGTCATGTTAAATTTGCATTCTGTGTACATATTAGCATGATTTTTCAACAACCAAAATCATTTAAACAGAAATAATTGATTAGGAAAAATAAAACATAAAATATCCAAAAATTAATGTAAGGCTGAAATCCAGTTGTGCAGTGACAAGCCATTGTAGCTGCTAGACACGAATTGCCATAAGCTCAGAAATCTCCATAGGCATTACGTGTTGAATGCAACAAATGTCTGCAGGGATTTCTTAGCTTACAGAGTTACAGTACTTTGCTTCCAAAAGTTACATTGTTTATGAAACCGCACAACAGGATTTCAGTCACTGTCTCCTAACACATTTCTCAAACATACAAAACAAAATGGAGTGCTGAAAACATTTCCAGAAAGCTTTCCACCACATATCACATCTCTTCCTACACCCATTTAAAGTCAACACTGAGTAAGAAAAAAAATGTTTGGCTCGCATCTGATTGTTAAACAGATCGTGAAAACTGCAGTACAATTTCAAAGCATGTTTATCCACACCGCTACAGCTTATCCAGGCTTACTGCTTATTAAGTGAGTGTACTTGAGTGTACAACTTCTGAAAGGAACATGGCTCCAACAAGTACATCTTCCTCTAGTAATGATACTAGCTGGAAAAAATAGTTTATTTTCACTAAGTTCTGGTGTCTTCTTCTCAGCCCAGTTTTTATATGCAAACATTCCACCAAGTGTAATGTGTCCATCACTTATATGTAAAAGCTTCAAGAAAAATAGAGGAAAAAATATAAGAACATTTGCACCAGCACTACTCTTCTGAGAAATCTGTAACACAATCACAAAAATAATAACTGACAGAATACTAGTTCAATTACCTTTTACATATACAGTAGTGCCTCGCTTAACGATTGCTTCGTATAACGAAAAATTCACTTAACGATTTTTTCGGAGTGATCTTGCGCTTCGTTTAACGATTTTCCCTATGGGCGATTTTCGCTTAACGATTTTGGGACCATGCTTCGCTTAACGTTTTTGATTTTCGGTCCCCTTTTTTCGCTTAACGTTTTTTTTTGACAGCCCTGTTTTTGCTATTTTTAAAATATTCTAAAATGTTTAAAAAATGTTTAAAATGCTTGGAATCCTTAGTGCACCTAATAAAACCTTCGTTAACTTAATTTGGCTTTGTTCTGAGTCTTTCTGAATTTTTTGTGAATTTCCCCCCCCCCATTGAAATAGGCTTCAATGCATTTCAATGGAGGAACCGCGTTTCGCTTAACGTTTTTCCTATGGAGATTTTCGCTTAAGGACGGTAATCCATTCCAATTGGAACGGATTATCCGGTTTTCAATGCATCTCTATGGGAAATGGTGTTTCGCTTAACGATGTTTTCCCATAGCGATTTTTTTTGAACCAATTAAAATCGTTAAGCGAGGCACCACTGTATTATATATAATTTGCTTCATACATCCTGACTCAAAGAAATCTACTTGGCAGAAACCAGAAAATGAGAATAACTTTGACAGTTCATTTAAATCCTATTGAATCTATTTTGTTAGACATAATGACCAAAATCCTGTTGCAGTTATGGTGGCAGAAAGGCAATAGCATTTACTTGTAACGGCAAATTGCTGCTAATTAACAGGTCTTCACTTGGACTGCTAGTAATATGGCAAGCCACCTGACTACTGGGCAATGAGGGATCTAACCAGGAAGGTGTTAATTAGCTGCAGTTAGCACACCACTTCTATCAGTATAACTATGCAACATGATTTGAACCAATAATACCCCAGCAAATTAAAAAGTAGAACAAATAGAGGCAGCTGAGTAATTGTCAAAACAAACTTGTGAATTGTTACACTGAAATCCTATGAAAATGTACATGAACATGCATACAAACAACTTCTAGACAATAGCAAAAGATAACAAGATACATGCAGAAAAAATTGTACACAAAAGAAGACTGGACAATTATAGCATCACATTTCTGCTGCTAGCAATCAAGAGTATACAGTCGTGCCCTGCTGGACAATTACCCACTCTACGACGAATCCGCATTACGTAAACGTTTTTGCGATCACTTTTGCGATCGCAAAACAATGTTGTAAATGGGGGAATTTCGCTTCACGTTGATCGGTTCCCTGTTTCGGGAACCGATTTTTTGCTTTACGACGATTGTTGGGTTTCAAAATGGCCGCCGGCTTTCAAAATGCCCCCCCCCGCTGTTTTCTAGGACGGATTCCTCACTATACCGGCACCGAAAATGGCCACCGTATGATGTTCGCTGGACGAGACGGTATTTAGCCCATTGGAACGCATTAACCGGGTTTTAATGCGTTTCAATGGGTTTTATTTTGTTTGACAATGTTTTCGCTCTACAGCAATTTCGCTGGAATGAATTAACATCGTCAAGCGAGGCACCACTGTATTACTGGCTCTTCTATGGATTAGCATGGTGACATGATAGCAGTGACTTCACAAGCATGCCACACCATAATATTAATGCTGCAAGGGACTGCCAAATTTTTGCATCAGTACTCTGTTACTAACAGGATCTGTCTCGACTATCTGCACCAAAAGTGACATGGCTTTAAAATCCAACTCACTCCATAGGAACATATTCTGGCTCAATAGCTGCAATTGAACTAGCATGAAATTATGGTCTCTACACATGCTACCAAACAAGAGTAGATCTGGGAGACAGCCAGACAATTAGGTAAAGGTAAAGGTTCCCCTTGACATTTAGTCCAGTCGTGTCCGACCTTAGGGGGTGGTGCTCATTCCCATTTCCAAACCATAGAGCTTGCGTTTCTCCTTAGACAGATTCCGTGGTCACATGGCCAGCACGACTAAACACGGAACGCCGTTACATTCCCACCATAGTGGCACCTATTTATCTACTCACATTTTTACATGCTTTTGAACTGCTAGGTTGGCAGGGACAAGCAACGGGAGCTCACTCCGTCACGTGGATTCAATCTTACGACTGCTGGTCTTCCAACCTTGCAGCAGAGGCTTCTGTGGTTTAACCCGCAGTGCCACCACATCCCTAGCCAGCCAATTGCTCCTTGCTAAAAGGCAATTTATGCCAACCTTGACAGTAACTGTGGAAATCTAGCCACTATTTTTTTCCAGCCCTTCTATATAGCAGTTCATGAGTCATCTACACCTGACACAGATACATCTAACTCAGCGAGCCTCTATCAGGCAGATAAACTTCAGTTTATCATACTGAGAACAAGCCTTGTATCTGAAGGCTCACTCCTTGCCTCTCCAGCTCTCAGATGGTTCATCTGTAAACAGAGATTATAACAAGTTTCCCAATAGTGTCCATGCCAAAAACACTGCAATTAAAAAAAACAACAGGAAAACCTGGATCCATACGCACAAAGGGAAGAGAGAAGCAAGGTTATAGACTTGAGTGCACAAGGCTCTATTTCACGTTGATAAGTCTTGGCTTAATAGCTATCTGAATCATCTTAATACACTTCTAAGCTAAGAAGATCTTTTAGTCACTTACAGGAACATTATGTGAGTCTGTTGTATCATCCTCACAATTCATTTGTTCTGGACTTTTTGGAGATGGCTTGCAACTCTGGGCCAATATTTTCTCCAATGGCAAGAGTTCTTCTTCATCACTGCTGTCCAGACTGTCACTAGAGGTCTTATCTTCAACAAAAGAAAGGCTTTTTACTTTATTCAGTATACAAACATTTGGGTTGGAATCTTCATTATGCACCTTGTTCAGGTCACGGGAAGAGCTAGGGATGGTGACATGATCGTTGTGTTCTGACAAGAGAACATTGTCACTGTCTGTCAGTGGTGATATAAATTGCTCAATATTATTTTTAGAAAGGAAGGTAGAAGCATTCTTCCAAATCTGTTCTGGTTCACCCTTTAACAAACTGCCTTCTGATGCTGAGAGAGTAAATTTACCGGACATACAAAAATGGGGGCTTCTGTTATGACCCTTCATTTGCAATGCTTCAAATAAATTATTACTCTGAGTATGTGAAACTATGTCTTTTGAATGTTTAGAAAACAAAGAACTACTTTGAGGTGTAGCAAATTCTTTGCAAAAAGCTTTAGCACCTACTTCTTGAGACAAACTAGCCAACTTTTCCAAATTAAAATGAGGACGAAATGTCTGTAACTGACTTCCTTTGATATTTTCAGTTTGGATTTGGTCATTTTTATTCACAGTGCAGTTATAGTTTTTTCCATTTTCTTCAGCAGTAAGACATTCTAATGAAACAAGTGAATCACTGTCAGATAGGGCCATACTCTCCAGCTGGCCATCAGGAGACACTCTGTCTTTTGAATAATCAGAATCATGCTTTTCCAGTGAATTACTAAAATTGTATTTATCCAACCTTTGTACATTGTGCTTTTGTGAACTTTTCATACTTGATTCCAAAACGTTCCTCTTCCTTTTTCCAGCACACTCTTTATGTTTGGATATTACCAATGGAGTTGTGGAATCTGGATGTACTGATGGACAGGAGCAACCTTTTTTCTTGGTAATTATTTTATCTGAGGTCCATCCTGATGATAAGGCAGGTTCTGAAGATTGATCTGCAGAGGACTCATCTGTGAAATGAAAACAAGCTAAGATTTGTAAACAGTGCAAGACCTATGAAGTAACCTGTCTTCCTTGAAAAAGTTTTATTATTACTAATGAATGCTTCCATTTCTGTACACATTTGCAATGCTACTAATAAGGCCATCACTGAAACAAAATGCTACAAAATATTACTCTTGTAGACTCCATCTGTGGCAGGTGATTTTAAGGAGGACCCTAAAGAGAGTCTTCTGCATAGGGTCCCTTCCAGCTCTACCGTTATGAGAGTCTAAGATTATAGTGGCTATCTGCTTTGAAACTCTCTACAGGAAACTCTTCTCATTGCCACATAACACATTTAATGTAGTTTTCTATTTAGATTGACATACAGCTAGCAACAGGAGGACCATCAATTTTGTGTCAACCTGGAGGCATTATTTTCATTAGATTAATGCAATTATTACCATAGATTTTGTAGGACAAATTAAAATTTCCCAAATGTGTACATGTCTCTGTGTTCTCCAGTACCACCTAGCCTGATGAGGAGTTCTGGAAAACTCAGAAGCCTGCGTTGTTCTGTGGAATTTTAGTTAGTTCTAATATAAAGATATGCCCATCAGTGGATTTTGGCTTTGAATGGTTCACACAAACAACCCTGACTAAAGCTGTTTTTACATGTAGAGTCCCACATTATTTACTATAATTGGAGTCATAAGTAGCACCAGCATTAAAATTAAGTAAGCTGTTTATTACAATCTGTTCAGCATCATTGCTGTTTTGATTTAGCCCCTTGCCACATAACACCTACCTGAGGAACAGTCCGATGAAGTCAAGTGCGACCTTTTCATTAAAAGATTTCTAGTTTCCTATAAGTAAGATAGGCAGAAAAGATTTAACAAATCTTTACAGAATACTAGTGCCTGAGCAGGTTTAGTAAACAAAAACAGCACTATTGTTTATCTGGAACAATGAAAAATGTCATCTTGGAGTCAGTCAGGCATGGGATTTTCAGAATTTGTGAACTAGATCCTCCAAATGTCTGCAGAAAATCCTTTAGACAGACATTTGTGGGATTTAATCTAGAACTCAAAGTCCTGACAGATGTTTCCCAATGAATTCAGACCCTTGCAGCCATTTTCTTCCTGAATTCAAAAACTCCCATGCATAGTCACACTACCTTAAAGCAAATTTCACATATTTTCCCATTAGGAGCCATTACCAAAGCTTACCAAAACTGTTATGATGAAATAAAAAAATATGCTGTTGAGTAAATTTTGACTCATGGAGACCCTTTTCAGAGGTTTCTAGGTAGTGAGTGACGATTGCCATTACTCATGCCATTCATATTCATGAGCTGATTTGCATGAACCTGTGAGAGGACTAGAGAGGCGGAGTCAGCAGCTACATGAGGCTTGGCGGGAGAAGGAGGAGTCAGATAGGGCTGGTTAGTCAGAGAGAGAGGGAACAGGTACTGAGAGAGATAGAGCTGGTTAGGAAAATAGGTAGAGAAGGTGATAGATATGGCAAGAGAAAATAAGTATATACTGAAAGAATTGTTTATGATTTGCTTATGTATAATGTGTATCTCAGAAACTTCTGTTATTATTCAATCTGCTTCACTTCAATAAATAAGTCTTGTTTCTGTTCACAAGAAAAGTGTTCTGACAAACGTTATTTATATTATAGATTGAGGTAATCCAGTGGTAGCAGTGAGAAGAAAACGTGATGTGAGCCTTTGTGAGGGAAAGACAAGCAGGGGCCACCAGGGCGAATGCCACAGTGAGTGCTCAGAAGTGGTTCACCATTCCCTTCTTCTGGGGACACCCTGGGACTGTGCAGCTCGCTCAAGGCCACACAGTTTGGCTCTATTTGCAGGAGGCACCACGGGGAATTGAATTCCCAGGTACCTAAATCACTGAACTATTCAGCTCATATAGGTTGTCTAAAAACAGAGCAGATGCCCATGCGTCCATCACCCTCTAGGTAGGGCCCTACTGGCAAATGGCTACTCCAAAAATGAAATCACAAGAGCCATCAAACCAAGAAAACACCACCAAACTGAAGAAGAAAAACAGCCACCCACAAATAAAGTATTTCTGCCATACATCAAAGGGGTCACGGACCGCATGGGGAAACTTTTGAAAAAACACAACCTACAAACAGTATTCAAGCCCACCACAAAAATGCAACAAATGTTATGGTCACCAAAGGACAGAAAGGACCCCCTCGCCACTGCAGGAGTCTACCGGATACCTTGCAGTTGTGGCCAGGTATATACTGGAACCAAACCAGAATCAAATAACATGAGAGACACTGCAGACAAAAAAACCCAGAAAAATCTGCAATAGCTGCACATGCCCTAAAACAAGCTGGACATGAAATTCTATTTCAAAATACTGTGATACTGGACAACACCAGCAATCATTACATCAGACTGCACAGGGAAGCCATTGAAATCCACAAGCACCAGCAGAACTTCAACAAAAAAGAGGAAAGTTTGAAACTCAACAAAACTTGGCTCCCAGCTCTGAAAAATACAGCATGCAAAAGGTCAACGAACTCTACCCAGCCACAAGGACTGGGGATCACTACACACAAAAGACCAGCTAATGACACCCATCAATCACAGTGACAGATAATCTCTCCTCCTTATCACAACAATATACCCACAAGACACACTAATCACCCTTCTCCTGAAAAGGACAAAAGCCTACCTCACAGCCATAAATACTCAACTCCCAAGCAAACTACACCAGAGCACAGAGTGCTGTCCTCTGAAGATGCCGGCCACAGAGACTGGCGAAACGTTAGGAAGAGCAACCTTCAGAATATGGCCAAAGACCCAGAAAAACCCACAACCATTAGATCCCAACTGTGAAAGCCTTTGCGAATACACTGAATACAGTACAGTGGTGCCCCACATAGCGAGGTTAATCCGTTCCGGATTAACCTTCGCTATGGGGAAACATCACTAAACGGAACGGAAAAGCCCATTGAACGCATTAAACGTTGTTTAATGGGGCCCAAACTCACCGTTGAGTGAAGTTTCCCCATCTGGCCGCCATTTTCGCGCCCTTGGTAAGCGAGGGCAGGGTGCGAAAACGCTGCGCGCGGCCATTTTGGATGTTCCGGCGGCCGTTTTGGAACCGCCGATCAGCTGTTCCCCCGACATCGCAATGTGAAGATTGGTAAGCGAAACGCTTACCGATCGTCGCAAAGCGATTTTTGCCCTATTCAAACATTGGTATGCGATCGCTAATGCGATCGCAAAATCCGCATCGCTATGCGGATTCATCGTTAAACGGTGCGCTCGTTATGCAAGGCACCACTGTATTTCTAAGTTTTATTGTGATACAAAAAATTCATAGGCTACATTGTAAATAATGCCATGCTCGAAACAGTCTTGACCAAACTGGATAGAAAAGTTTTTCAAACTTCAAAGTAAGCTCATGAACTAAATCCTGCATTCCCCAAGCTTTGCTCTGGTATCACTAAGGACTTTTGCAGACCCACGGGTTGGCAAGGGGTCGAGATCCCTGGAATGAGCATAGTTTAGCCTTTGTCTTCTCATCTCCAGTACCACTCATTTGGCATGTATCACACGTCTGACCAAACTGCTTAACTTGCTGACCCATTCCTGGCCAGTAAAAGTTTTGTGCAACTCTTCCTTTGTTTTGTACGGGAGACACTCCTGAGTGCTCCAAACACATCCCTATGAGCTTTCTCCAAAATCTTCTCTCTATACTTCACAGGGGCAAATAGCTATCTGTGGGGTCCTCCTCCTCCTCTATGAGGTGCCTTTAAAAAACCATCTATATGTCAGTTTTTAAAAATCAGCTATAAACCTCTCTAGGTGTTCAGGGGTCAGTAGAATGGGATTCTCATTAGCTTTTCTAATGCAATCATTTAAAGTAATATCTTCATTCTGCTCATTAATAAAGGAAGTATTATTAGGATTTCTCAGTATGACCACCTGATTTATTTCTATTACCTCAGGGTTTTCCTCTAAACTGGGGCATCCCTGGTTTGATTCAGAGGTTAGGGATTCCATTTTTCCCTCAGCAATTGTTAACAGCTCTTCCTGGGAACGTTTTACTACAAAAGCACTCTGCACATGCTTAGCGAGATCTAATCTGATCAAACAAGGCGTATTTGATCAGAAAGTGCTACATCCCAAATTCCAACCCAGACTCTGTAGTTTATCTTTACTTTAACCATAGGTAAAATCACTGGAGTAGAACTTATTCCTTTGATTGTAATGTTGCCACCCAATTTTAGGTTTCAATTCTCCAGCAGGAAAAACAGATAAAATAGTGCATCAATCAGACTATATGAGAGTCAATTGTTGTTTTTATTAAACATATAGCTGGACTCTCGTCTTAAAGGCAGATCGGGGGTCCTCATCATACATTGGTAAAGCATTTTATGCAAAGGACAATAAAGCACAGCATCCCCTTATTGGTCTTCTGAACCCTATGTGTGCCTGTTGGGTAATTCCTATTGGCCGTGGTAGATGTGAGAAAAAAATCAAATTGCATACCAGGCTGCCAAGTTCGTGAATGTGTGAACCATTGTGCAATTTATCTCTAAATATGTTAATGATGGATTGTTCTTCTGGGGTGTTAGTGCATGGCGTTAGGAAGTTACAGCCTTGCCTGGAGCGCTGTGAATTTGTTATTCTGAGTTGGCCTTGGTTCACACAAAGCTTGGTTCACACAAAGCTGTGTCAGTTTAACAGCATGTGATAATGTAAGAATGTTTCTGTGCGGGAGGGGGGGTCAGGAGTACTATTCACATAAAGTACAGATACAAAAATGCATATAGAATGTCATTATAGCAAGGAAATAGTGAAATCATATTTCAATTACAGGTACAGGGTATGATTACTAGTGTAAGTACATGTGAATCAAATAGCATGTGTTATCTTAAATTGTAAAGCCAGTACTTCGTATATGTTATATCAGAACCCCCT